CTTTCTTTCTTTCTTTCTTTCTTTCTTTCTTTCTTTCTTTCTTTCTTCCTTCCTTCCTTCCTTCCTTCCTTCCTTCCTTCCTTCTCACTCACTATTCCAGTGAGATTTAAAGTTGCCTGAAAAGTTATTTTAGCTTTGTATGATTATAATTGCAGCCAGGGCTAGTCAAAGGAAAAATTAAATGTAAATTTCATCCAGATTATGCATATTTTTGTTCTGCTGTTAAGATTATAAAACTGCAAATCGAAAGTGAATTATACCGTATAAGCAAATTCACAGAGGATATACGCATCTAATTAGATCCAAGATATTTTGCAAAGCCTTGAATTTTTTTTAATTAAATAATGTAAACTTTCTAATTAATAAAAATGGAGCTCATTAACCCACTTCAACCAAACTTCCTATTTTTAAAGTATTTATTCTTTTTGACAATTGTTTATATTCCGAATGCTTGTATTTTATTGCTAGTAATCCCAATGTCAGTAACACACACACACATACACACACACTCACTCTGCATGGAGCATAGTGAAAGTTAAAAGTGTGAAGCAAGAAAGGAAATATGGCTACTGTATAAAGTTCATCCAACAGTTCAACCAGTTCACTGGGCTATTATTACCGTAGCTTCCACAAAACTTTCATCAGATTGGCTCCTACTTCCTACTTTATTTTTTAAAAAGTGAATATTGCAACAGGAGATCTAAAATACAAATCTCAGCGAAAATCAATTCCTGTTTCCCAGAATACAGCAATTTATCTTTAAGCCCTTTATTCTCTACTCTTTCTGTGGATGGTTCTTCTTTAGCTGCTTTTGCAACATCTCACAGTTTCCTGTTTCATCCCTTAGAGGAACTTGCTGACTGTTTCCTTAAGCAATAAAGAGACATGCACTTTTCCATCATTTGCAATAGTCACTAATAAACCATGAAAAATTATGGCAGTGTATTACTTGAAATTTATAGTACAGGTTAGCACCATGTTAGATTGGATTTAAAAATTCTCAATTTCTTAACTGAAAATATTATTTCATAAGATACACTAGAAAAGTCTTTGGGTCTGACCAGAGAAATGAAACTTGAGTTTCGGCAAAACTCTTCTCTTTCTGGAAAGCAAAATAAAGGTGAAGAAAACTATGCTTGTATTTTGATCACTTTAATATTTACTATGAAAGAACTTCCTCATTTACAATTCATCTTAATCCTATAAAAGATGCGTAAAATTTCAGCCTCTGTCATATCTGTGTATCTTTCGTAACTGTTCAATGCTGAAAATCCAATAAAGTGCCACTTCTTAAAAAGCACTAAAATGCTTAGGGTTGCAGTGTAATGTTATGATTGTTAAAATATTTGACATAGTCCAACTTCTGTTGCTATGGTTCTAGCATTATTTTAAAAATTCTAGGAGTTTACAAAAATCTATTTTCTGGCATATGTATTTCCCTGTTGAGAAATTATTCAAAATGACATTATAAAGTATTTGTAATTTTGTAATCTCACTGTCTAAAATCACATTGTCAAAGGTATTTATAGAAATATTTATGCCAAAATATAAATTATAAAAACATAATATAAATTTTAATCAATTTAAATAGCATTGTTGCTAATTTTATTTCATTATTCCTTTCAGTGTTTTAAATTCCCACATGGGGGAGCTATAAGATCTGATTTAAATTTTTTCTATAGCCACAACATTGTGTGGAAATCTCAATACTATGGTGCAAATGTGTTCTTATTATCAGCTTTGTTAAAATACGGTACAGGAGAATCAGCAGTTATACTACACTAATACAGTATATACAGTCAGTATAACGAGCAACAGCATAAGAGCTAAAACGGTGCGATTTTTAATAAACTAGGGACCGTTTGTGTTGTCATGGCATAGAGCAGAAGTCTCCAAAGTTGGCAACTTTAAGACTAAGTGGACTTCAATTTCCATAATTCTCCAGCCAGCATAGGGAGTTGAAGTCCACAAGTCTTAAAGTTGCCAACTTTGGGGACCGCTGGCATAGAGTAAGCAGCCTTGTTATATTTAAGGCTAGTAAACTTCTTTTACCCTGTTGAATTTAGCAAAACTGTTCCTTTGCTTCTGCTACTTCATGCAGAACTAGTGATCATTTTTTAAAAAAATTAAAATAAGATCTAAACTGATTATCATAATTTCTACGTATATAATGATTACAGGAGATCTTGCTCCTTATAAATATATTTATCCATAAAATTGTCAATAAAGCACTTCTTTTCCTCAATAACAAAAGAACACTGTAGGAGTCTACAATTCTAGCTCATTTAAAAATTTTCCTGTATGCAAAATGGAAAGCCAACCCTTATCATGCAAGTCACGCCCTTAAAATATTCTTTCATGTATAAATCTAATATGTATGTTCTATAGAGAGCAATGCAGTGTTATTTATTCTGCTGAAGGTTTTTAAAGGGCATGGCACAAACAGAACAAGTTCATAATAGGAAAACAATAATTAAAATTAATTAACTGAGTTTTAATTAATTATAAATTGGCCAATCACTACTGATTGCAGCACTATTACTGCAAATGCTACAAGATACAAACTTCTTTCCAAGCTGAGGTTCACACTTAGATTTCCAGATATAAACCACAAAGCCGTGTTTCTAACCTTGGCAACTTTAAGATGTGTGGACTTCAATTCCCAGATTCCCCAGGCAACATAGTAGTTGAAGTCCAAACAAGTTTCCAAGATTGAGAATCATTTATCTAAAAATATTGTTTAAATTATTAAACATTTGTTTAATTTACACTTAATTAAAATGTAATATTATGTGATTACCCAAGTCTTGAATTCAATATTTTTTCTGAACCTGTCACATTACCTATTACAAAGTTTAGAAATATGCAGCCGAAGGAATCAGATTGTGCATTTCTATATTACATAATACTATGTGAAAGAGTAATTTCTATATTACATAATGATATGTAAAAGTATTATTTCTATATTACATAATACTATGTAAAAGAGTTTTGCTTCAGAATAATTATGAATTGATCTAATTTTCTCAAGGTTGTCATGAATAAGTAACAGCAGCAATCAATGTAATTAAATCCTTAATATTCATAAACAAGATGAAAAAATCTTTCAAAAATCTTAGTAAGAGTTTCGGACTTCTGGTTTGTCGGCTTCGCGAGCGGCAGGGATTCGCGATACTGCGCGATCCCTGCTGCGCTAGCCGTTTTTGGTGCTCCGATCCGGACGGGTTCGGAGCTAAGGCTGCCCTGCAGAGGTAGCTGAAGATAGGGGGGATCCGGAGAGGGGTTTGGGGGTGTTGCAGACCCCCTCCCCGGCCGGCAGAACCCCCTTTTCCCAAGACGGTGCAGCGGCGGTCCGTAATGGCCGCCACAAAGAAGCTGGCAGCTGGGTAAGAATGCGCAGGAGGAAGAGGAGAAAGCCTTTGAGAGTGAAAGTTTTCTTGGTTGACCCAGGACTCTAAGACACATTTAACACAATTCCTGGAAATTATGGTTTTTTGAATGATTCTTTCCACAAGAGAAAATAAGCGGCAATTTTGAGGTGCTGAAAGGAAAGTTTACTCTCCTTCCCTACGGAATCAATAAGTGGATACTGAGAAACCTGTCTTTTTCAGGTAAAAACTAGCTTTATGTGATAAGTGGGAAGGGAGAGGACAAAAAATATATTCATATGTTAAGATTTTGTTGGAGGAGATGCCTTAAGGATTTGAAGACTGAAATATAATTCCAATAAGGCTTTAAGATACAGATTTGGACTTTCTTTTTTTTTTATTGATACTACCCCAGGAAGAGAAAGTGAGAACTTTGTCTTGGCTTGGATTGATTGAGGACTTTGGGATTGTTCTATTTTTTTGAAATATCTTGGTTGGTGCAAGAAGAAAGAGGGGAAAAGAAAAAAGAAAAGAAAAGATTTATAATGGCTTTTTTTGCTGAGGAACTGAGAAAAGAATATGAGCAAACAAAAACAGATGGCAAAGATGGTGTGAAAGAAGCCTTCTTTTTTTTAGAAATGGCGCTTGCTAACTATCAACAAACACTACAACAGATGGAGGCAGCAGCAGAAGAAGAAGAAGAAGAAGAAGAAGAAGCCATCTTTAATGAATTTCAAAATTTAACTAAGAAAGAAGGAAGGAAGAAAGGAAGGAAAATGAAGGACTTAAGATTTAAAAAAACACCCAAGAAAGAGAAAAATAAGGTGCAAAATCAATATAATGATAGTAAACAAAAGAAAAAAGGAACACAACAGAGAAGGGAAGCCAGCAAGGCAGAGGCTAGGAGAAGGGGGGTAGGAAGGTTTGGTGGGGGGAGAAAGAAAGGGAAAAGGTGGAGAAAAGCCACAAAGTTTTGAAATTAGATGGGAAAAGAGGAATCTTTTTTAGGGACAAAGGGTAAAGTACAATTTCTTTAAAAAAGATTTTGCAAGGTACATAAGATGGTATTGTAGCATTTGTATTAGAAATAGAAAATTAGAATGGTTTAAGAGTTAATAAGAGATTAAAATGTTGAAATGTTTAGTAATGATTGATTTTAAAATTTAATAAAATATTAAAGGGAATGTTTAGAATATTGAGTTTTAATTAAAGAGTTTAATATGACTATGGTATTGATGTTATTATAAAATTATTATAGTAGCATTTGTTTTTGGAAAAGGCAATGGGAATGTTATAAGATTCAATATTTAGATCTATTATTTAACTATGTATTTAATCATTTTGGATTTATTATTTTTCTTTTATTAAAAAAAAAATAGTAGATAGAATGTACCAAGCAGAATCAGATTGGGTATTAGGTGTTATTTTAAATGTTAATCTAATTAATTTAGGGGGAAGATAGAAAGGCATCATACTCTGATTAGTGATTTCAGGAGAAATTCTTTTTTTTTATTATAAGGAATGAGACAGAGGGATAATAAAGAATGGACAAAAGATACAAATATAATGACTCAAATTAAGATGGATTAAATAAGATAGAATTAAGAAGAGTGAAATGTGTGGAGAAGCTAATATAGAAGATATAGAATGGTAAATAAAATAGGTAATGATATGTAAGATGAGCATGAATATAATTGAAGTCCATGTAGAGAGAGGTACCTGGGGCCAAGTTACTTTCCTAAAAGATTTTTTATGTTTGTGTGTTGTGTGTTTATGTTTCTGGGAGAATTAATAAAACCTTGCAGAAATACAGAATGAGAATAATGGTAACCAAGTCAGAAAGAAATAGATGAAATAATAATAGTGAAATTGAATAAGAGTAAAGAGAAGTAAAGAGAAATTGGATAAGAGGTATTTGTATGCTCATATGGAAATGGTTTAAAATAGAATGATATTGTATAAAATAAGGTTTTATTTGACTTGTAAAATTTATAATGGAAAAAGGTTTAAGTATGTAATGGTTAATGATGATTTGTTTGTCTTTAAAATTAATAAAATTTGTTTTTTTAAAAAAATCTTAGTAAGAGTTTCTTTATCTCTGACAGTCTCATATTTAAGTTATGTACCAAGGAGGTTTGTATGTCAGGAATTTTGCCAACTTAAATTGGCTGGTGTAAGGGAGTGAGAATTATCTTAAAGAATGATATATGAGAAAGCAAAACAGCTAGCTTTATTTATTTTTAAAGTAGAAAAGGGGGAAGAAATTAAAATACTCAGAAAGAAATACTGAGCACAACAGAAACTCTTGTCTGTAAAATCAAATCCTTACTTCATCAAATCACTTTGGTTACTTCATCAAGATGGTTACTTTTGCCATCATTTACAAACAGATTATTAGAATATTCAAATATCAACAAATTACAAGTAAAGTGTCTCCTCGCACATATGTCCTAGTTGTTTCAGCTCTAGGGGGAGGTGCTCATCTCCATTACAAAGCCGAAGAGCCAGACCGTCCGAAGACATCTCCATGGTCATGTGGTCAGCAGGAGTAAATGCCAAAGGCGCACAGAATGCTGTTACCTTCCCACCAAAGGTGGTCCCTGTTTTTCTACTTGCATTTTTACATGCTTTCAAACTGCTAGGTTGGCAGAAGCTGGGACAAGTAACGGAAGCTCACTCCGTTATGTGGTGCTAGGATTCGAACCGCCGAACTGCCGACCTTTCTGATCTACAAACTCAGTGTCTTAGCCACTAAGCCACCGCATCAATACATTATCCAGTTTAAATTTCCAGGTCACAATTAAAACTCCTGGTTTTACAGGATGTTAAGATAAATAGATTTTTTTTTTTTTAAAAAAAGAATTTAGTACCACTGTTTGTGAGATCTGAATACTCTTGACATGTGGAAGCAGTAAATAAGTGTTTGCTGACTCTGTTGTTGAGTTCTCTGAAACAGCTTCTGAAGTTCTGGTTCCAAATATCTAATGTACACATCATGCTACAATGCCAACAATAAATGCAACAAAGAATTGCAATCGTTTAGAAATACAATTATATAGTGCTATTCTAATGATAAATAAGATGTTGCAGTATTAAAATAGCAAATAGATATTGTTTGTGGTAAACTTTTAGGATGCAAATAAAACTTCCACTCAGGGAAACCAAATTTTATTTTTAACATCACACCCACTCCCCTAAACAACAAATTATAGTGCTTACAAAATGATTCACAAAACTATGTAATATAAATAATATTTTTGTTTCAAATATTAAATTCATATTTGCAGTTGTTTGGATCGTGATTTAAAATGCAAACAATATAAATGGCTGCAAATAGTGTCAAGACATTTTGTCAAGAAATAATGATGTAAATTTTGCCAATTCAAGATTTAACAGAAGTTCAAATTTAATGAACATTTTTTCTCCATCTTTATCATCTTTAACCAAGATTTTAATGTATCTTATTGGCTTTAAAATGCATGTATGTGTGTGTTTGTGTGTGTGTGTGTGTGTGTGTGCGTGTGTGTGTGTGTATTCAGAACATGCATCACATTTTTATCTATTACTGGAATAGCCAACGTAATGCTTTCTTAAACATTTTTGAACCAGCTACTCCATCGATCTTTAACTTTTTGTAAAACAAGCAAACTGAACAAAATAGCAATAGTACTAATAGTATACTGCTTCACAGTGCTTATACAGCCCTACGCGGTTTAGAGAGTCAGCGTATTGCCCACAACAATCTGGATCCTCG